CTCTTTTAACTTCGTGAACAATGGCTAGTTCATCCAACCCATCGAACCTTTACTTAGATTTGAGTCTAAGCAGTGATCCGGTCGCGCCTCGTCAGGGTAAGGTATGGTGCCCGTCTTTCTTATCTTCCCATGGCCCTCTTACAGATGAGGACTCTGTGATGACGGATCCCACAACGGCTACGATAGTGGCTCGGAACCTCCTCACTCCCAAAGACAGTCAGCTGCTTTCAGGACGGTCCGATGAGTTGGCCGTTCAAGAATCCCTGGCTCTGAGTGTTCAGTGCGCTGGCTCTGTGTCCAACATGGGCCAACGCCTTCTTGCTCGCTCCCGTCAGGTTGAATCCTTGATGGCGGAGGTGGAGAGTCTTAAGCAGGAGATCAAACAACTTAAGTACGAGAACCGAAGTTTGCACGTGCTTGCCAACAATTATTCGACAGGCATGAAGAGGAAACTGGATGAGCTTGATGTCCATCAAAGGCTTGCAGCTTTCTTCCAGAGACACCTCTTTCCTGGTTCATCCAGCGTTCCACCAAGGTTTGGGGCCTTGAATGATCTATCTTCGGTGCCTCCCACTTCGATGTCTTCCGTTCCGATGCCTCTTGCTCCAATGCCTTCTGCTCCGAGACCTCCTGTTCCGATGCCTTCTGCTCCGAGAGTGTTGCCACGTAGTGGGGCCTCACGTACACAACCTTTGTGAAGACTCCATCTTTCTGCCATGTTTAGATACAATTATAATTTATCGAAAAAATCAATGAACAAGCTTTGTTTTATTTACTGTATTGGGTTGCCTCCCAAGTAGCGTTTTCTTTTACGTCTTGCAGCCGGACGAAACCTTCTTAGGCTCATTTAGGACCCATGACACGAAATTTATCTCTGAATGGGGGGTGATACTTGAGATGATCCGGTAATGGTTCAAATTCTAAAGTGGGTGCCTGGATCATTAACAACATATTAGTATAAAAGAAAATTGAAATTCGGGGAGGCGGCTTACCTGTGTGCTCTGACATAAACTCAAGAATAAACACCACTCCCTTTAAAGTTTCAGGGATATTGGACTTGGCCAGATTGCATGTGAGGATTAGTCCTTGTCTTGTGTCATAAAATTCAACTTCTTTGGGGTTGTTTGCCTCAAGTATATCCTCTTTGATGAATTCTAGACATTCCCCAGTCACATCTTGCTCTTGATTCTTTGGAAAGGATTCGAAGATGCCTTTCTCACCCTCTTCTTCCTTGGATTGCATGATCTTGCAAGGAATAGGGACATTCAGTGGAATGGGGTTAGAATTAATTAAATTTGGAACAACCTTACTTGAATTAGATGGCGTGGGAGCAATAGGTGCCTGCGGTAAAGGTGTTTCCACCCTTGCCATAGGTTGCGTGTGTTCCTCTTCCTCAAATTGCAACCTTTCATCTTCCTTGTAATTTGATTTAAGGTCCGTTCCAACCTCCATAGCATTTCCCAAAGTTATAGCATTATGGATTTCAAAATCTTCCTTCGAGTTTTCAATAGTTGAGTTGGAGAGTTCACTTTGATCTTGAATTTGTTTCATGAACCCCATAATCTGCCCAATTTGCTCCTCCATATCCATCATCTCCTTCTCGTTATTTGCTATCCGGTTGTTTTGATTTTGCAACCCCTGCGAAATAGAGGTTAGTAATTGCATAGCTTGATCACTTTCCAAGGACGTACCTGAATGAGATGATGCCGAAGGTTGTTGGGGTTGTTGGGGTGCATACGGCTTGGAATAAAAACCAGGGGGGTTTGGCCTAAATCCTCCTTGTTGGGCAGCTTGTTGTGGCTCCCTCCATTTGAAGTTTGGATGGTCCCTCCATTCGGCATTGTAAGTGTTCGAGTATGGGTTGTTTTGATTTTGTCCTTGGAAACCAATTGCATTGGCAGATTCCCACCCACCATTCTCGATTAGTTGAGGGCACTTGTCGGATGGATGCCCTTGAATTGAGCACACGCTACAAACTTGGTGTTCTTGTGCTTTTGGACCAATCACAACTTGAGAAACAAGAGAAGTAAGATTAGCAAGTTGTGATTGAATTTCAGAAATAGCACTCACCTCATTTACACTTTGTTGCCGTGGGGCTTCCCTTTGTTGAGCCTCCTCGACTTGGTTTTGTGAGCCCTGCACCAAACAAAGTAATTCATTAAGCTTTTGATTATAATTTATTGACGAACTTGAGTTTGGTTGGGCATATTGAATATGAGGTTGTGGTGGATGCATAGACGTTGAATAGAACTCCTCATAGGGCTGCCAATATCCGTCTTGTTGAATATGTTGAGGTTCCCACCACATAGAGTTTGAATGATCACTCCAATCCGAATTGTAAGTATTGGAAAACACGTCGTTCCTTGATTGATTATGATCAAATGTACCAACTCTTTGCGTTTGGTACTCTTCCATAAGCTGTGACAAAAGAGAAGCACTATCAAGTGCCATGTCTTGCGTATAAAATCAACAAAATAAAACTAAAAATATATACACACAAACGAAAATAAAACAATCCAAGAGATTAGCAAAGTTGCTAATCCCCGGCAACGGCGCCAAAATTTGATGCGTGATTTATACGCGCACAAATTAAACCCTCTTTTTGACAATTGTAGTAAGTATGTAAGTAGGGATCGTTCTGGACCGGGGATTAGGAGGGATTGTTAATCTCTTGGAAACTGACTCAAAAACGTAAAAACAATATAAAACACTAAACTAGACTAAAAGAATGTGAAATTAAACGTTAAAACACTAAGACAAACCAAAAGACTCAAAATGCTTTAAAAACACAAACTAAATTGATTTCTAACTAAATTGAACATTAAAGAAAAAGGGGGATTGAGGTTTGACGAAAATTGAAATAACGAAACAAGTTAATAAACTAGACAGAATGTAAATATGAAATTGATGAAATGGAATGAATGGATGCTAGCCAAGGGGTTTATCTCCACACATGTTACACTTGCATAATAAAAAGATTTCCAATTGCATTTCAATAAACCATGCATTCTCAACACCCCGGGTTAATTAGGTCCGCTTAAATTAACCGTCAAGTTTTCCTTAAGTTAATGAATTGGATGATTGCATACGACAACCCAAAGCATTCCTCACAAGTTCCCTACATGAATTGCATAATAGAGATACAAGCAATAATCATTAAGCATCATGAAAACTATAAGTGTTGACGAGGCATTCGTTACTATGATTGCATGAAACTTATGCCAAGAATTTGTTTAACGCGATTGTTTATAAGCAACCTCCACTACTTGTGAATATAAGTTCATAACTATTACGTGAAACTCACTTATATTCTAGCGTCAAATTCATGCATGAAAATTAAGCGTTCATTCTTAATAAACATACATAAATAGGATATCAATCAAATAGTTAAACAAATTGAATTCACAACTTATGAAACGTAATTAAAAGTACTCAAATCATATTGCAAGCATAAACATATATTTCGAATCACCCCCTAGCTAAGGGGGGTTTAGTTCCTCATACGTACAAAACAAAGAGAATTGAAATTAAACATTGAAATCAAAGAAACGCCTAAACATTCCAACAACTCAAACTTGAATTGTATGAACGTTTAGGCCCTCTTATCTTCCTCTTCGTTGTAGCATAAGGTCTAAGGATAGTTGGTTTGGGGGAATGGAAGTGTGGAATTATGGAAGTGGTGAGGAGTGGTGGAAATGGAAGAATGGTTTTTGGATTCTAAGGGAGAGTGTTTGTATTAGTTGTGGTGTGAGAATGGAGAGTGAATTGAATGATGCAAATGAATGAAGTGTGTGTGGTTTATATAGGGAGAGAATGGATGGGAGAGCATGTGAATGATAGCTAGGAGAATGATTAAAGGGGTGTGAATGGTTGGAAATGCATGTGGGTGAATTGGTGGTGCAATGATGAAAGAATAAGTGCATGTGTGTGTTTTGTGTTGGAATGAATGTGGATGCATGATGAAGAGTTAATAAATAATGCATGTAGGGTTAGGAAATAAAATCATAACTTAAAGGGGGGACGATTAAAGGGTGTGGCTAGGTTGGAAAGGTGTGGAAGATGGATGGAATTAGGGGGAATGCATGGCAATGATGGGGAGTTCTTTGGTGATGAATGCAATGATGAAGAGTGAATAAATAATGCATGTAGGGTTAGCTAGGTTGGCTTTGTTTGGGTGCATGTGAGTTAAAGAGGGAGAATGTGGTGAAATGATGAAGTAGGAAGGTGGAAATGCATGTGAATGCATGTGAGTGCATGTGTGTGTGAATGGGTGTTTCTTGATGGTTTTGGGGTTGTGATGCATGTGAATGCATGTGGCTAAGGCTTGTTGATTGGGCTAGAGGTTTTGCATGGCTCAAAGGATTGTTTGATTGGGCTAGGCCCTTTGTTTTATGTCCAAAGTGCATACAAGGCTTTCAAATTCGTCCAACACTTTGGCTCCAAAAATATGTTATCCATTCCAAGCCCAATTTTGCTCCAAAATGCTCCAAAATGCATCTTTTTGCTTCCTTAGCCATATGAACCTAAAAACACACGAAAATGGCTTAAACTACTAAAACAACTATGAATTAACAACATAGATGCACGAAAATAAGCTAAGTAAGTTGCCTAAATATGCTCCTATCATTTATATTCCCCAACAGTGCCCATCCATTGCATTATAGAAATGGACCGGTCCCGAGCCCTGTGAGTCTAAAGATTTAGACTTGCCCGCCCCGTCCCGTTTCTATAAAAAAAAAAATTGGACTCGCCCCGTACCCTCCGAAACCGTGATTACCCGCCCCAACCCGCTGATCCTCTACCTGTTTGTCCACCCCTAGTCCCTACACGTGATAATTTGTAATAAAATGAAAAGCAAACATAGTTGCACATGCAGAGCGTGTATGCCAATTGCCAGTTTATCTAATGCAAACCCGATTTTCATAATGAATTTGTTAGGCTATGGTAATGAGTATATATAATAATTAATGGTTGTATTTTGAGAGGTCAGACAAGCATACTTGCAGCTTTTCGTTGTAAGTATATGCTTATTAGTTTGGTTGTGTTTCTTCTTCAGATTTCTCGTCAGGATTTGGTTTTTAACGAAGACGTGGGAAGACCAATTCGGCGATATTTCTCAATGTTAATTTATCAAATCTTGATTGAACCATCTGTCAGCTTTTCTCTCTGTAACTTGATTAATAAGTTCTTGCAAGTTTCTCAAACGGTAAATGCACGAGCTACATGGTTTTTCTTTTCCCACAAATGGTTTTTATTTTTCCCCTGTTCACCACTCGAACAATCACTTGCATGGCTAGCGGGCATATGCTTTCCGCTGAGAAGATCAATCAAGAGAGTCCCAAAGCTGTGTATTACACTTTCTGGTGTCACTCTCCCTGCAATACATGGGATGTGCGGTGTATAATATTTGCTGAACTGCACACTTAAAGAATGTTTGTCAAGTAAATCATAAATTCGAACACGCCGCCTTTTTTTCCATGATGTACTTACCAGGCCTCAAAATATTCAGGAGAAGTAAATGCCAGATGATGTGATGCCTAATATCCTAGTATGTCCTTTCCGAATGAGAACCCAAAGTTAAATGATTAAGCAGAGGCAATTATAAGACCAAGTGGATCCGATATCCAACAATTAAAATATGAATACAAGATAGATAGTAACCAAAAACCTCGTATACGTATAAGGAGTAAGCCTTGCAATGAAAAAGATGTTTTACAAGTGTTTCATTGGGCATATATTCTGCCACAAGCAACCACTCATCACCTTCGCAACAACTGAGTAAATTGATCAATCTATAAAAAAACATACCACGAGTCAAGGATATTAAATTAAGTAATCATTCTTGTATTAATTTACTTGTGAAGATTTTTCCACAATTTTTCTAAATCCCACCGCCAACGGTGTTGGAGTTTATTGGTGGGATTTGAATTGAATTTTGTTGTGTGGATTGAATGGGAATGGGGCCAACGGCCAACACAAGGCGAGACTTTCAATCATTTGCTAACTTTACGACTAATAAGGTGCACCGGGGTACAATTTAGTATTTAATCTCGATTTGACCTTCCTATAAAATAATAATAATAAAATAAAGTTTGTTTAGACCCAAGCTAAGTATATGATAAAGATGAATGTGATTTTACCTAACTATATCAACAGTGTGTTCGTTAAGCACCATATATACTCAAATTAAATCATAAACAGAAAAGAACTACATTGTATGTGATTTTACCTACCTTTTTTGGGGATAGTATCCCAACATGTACACAGCCTTCACCTTTGTTTGTACATGAACTGCACCTGCTTCCCTAACAACGACCAGACACTATATAAGAATTGAGAAATGTATTTATACAGAAACGATAACAGAGCTAAAAACACTGAAACAAACAGAAACAGGCACAAAACAATGAATAATAAAGCCAAAGGCAGAGTAAAGCTCACCTTGATTGAGAAATTTCGGTCAATGTCATTAGGATCCATTTCGGTCTCCCTGAGATCCCAATCAACATCAGAGTGAAAGCCACTAATTCTTTGACGGATTGGACGCATTTTCAAACTCCCTCTAAGGTTATTCCACTTTTAGTTTGGGACACAAAGACCAGCTCTTACTATTGTTTTTCCCCAAATTAAATGTTCAGAATTTTTTTCACTTGTTAATATATGTTATATAGGACAATACATATAAGTTGCCATCAAAGCTAAGTACGAATGCGTGTGAGAGAGAAGTGAGTGCTAGGTTTGTGAGCATTAACAACCATGACAAGTGAGGGTGGGAGAAGAATGGAATGGAAACTGTGTGAGGGTAAGACAGCAAGTTTGAAAAGAAATTGTCAAAACTTAGTCAGAATCCTAGTCATTAAAACGATCTTAAAAATACAAACAAACAAGCACACTCTACGTATGTAAGTTGCTTGCAAGCCCATTGGTTACCGGAGTTGCCTCACGCAACATATGGCTAAATTCATCTTGTGCCTGTATTGGAGAGAAGAGAGCGATATATTGTAGAAGCATATGGAGTTTCCATGTGTGAAATGTTTATACTGTTATAGTAAGACATTACTCAAATCTAGATAGAGACAAATCATTGTTTGCATATAAATGTATTCATTGTCATTCTTTTTTTTAGCTAACTCCACTCAAAGAACTCTCAATACTTAACATAAAACACAAAAAAATTCCTGCAAAATTTGTGTATAGGCAATCTACTTCTAGAAACAGATTCCCAATACAAAACAAGGAAAAACACAAATGATGATACAAATAACCCCTGCTCTAAACAGTTCTTTCGGTTTTCTATAAAGATTGTTGTAAATGGCAACGACTAGTATACAAATAAGATAAGAATTGCATTCTTACTACTGAGTTCTGACTTTCTTCAACCTGTACATGAGGGACTCAATAGATTTTTGTAAGCTTGTGCCATCTCTCCGTACCACTTCCTGAGATGCGAGGTGTAAACTTTGAATCCCGCGACCCAAACTGGCAATTGATGGAGCTGCAGGTAGTGATTCAGCAGCACATTCAATCCCATCTCCATATGCAACCAGACCGGCACAAGTTGCAATACTACATCCAAATGTAGCCCACGGTAGGACACCAATTTTCTGGATATGCCGTTTCCTCATTATTTGATAGAATGCTGTTCTCATGGCTGAAAAGCTAGTCTTCTCCGCAGCAGTAACACTATGGGCAGCGGCTCGGATCTTCTCAGCAGAAGCAGTTGCTTTCAGTATAGTTGTTGATTTGACACCTGGAGCCACCACTTTTGAGGGGCCAAGAGTTTTACTAAGAGCAAATCCCAATGTCTTATGGGTTTGACTTAGAAAGAGTTTGAGTGAAGCTGGGACTTTAAACGTCACCACTTTCATCAAAGTTGAAGCAGGAACTTTGAGCGTAGCGGCCTTAGAGAGTGAAGATGCTCCTAAAACTGCTGTTGCCCCGGCCCCTACTGCCACCAATGGTTTATCAGTTAGTAGTCGTTTCCTGTCGGTGTCATTTGACATTTCCCCCTCACCTTCGCAATTATTAACAAGCTCTCCGACCATATCCTTGACCTCTAAAGGGACAGGAGTGTTCCAGTGTTTTCTAAGACCTGCTAAGCCACTAGCATCCACTACTGCCACTATGGTCTTGAACTTCTTTGTTTGGCCACGAAGAGCCTCTACCAGCAGAGCATGTGACTTGTCCTCAACTGGAAGATCAGAAAACTCAACCTTATTTAAATTCGAATCCCTTATTTTATTAAAGGGAAGCCGACCAGCATTATTCAGAGAAATTCTCAGCCCCTCGACTGCAATCCGAAAGGCATAGACTTCAGACATAACACTGGTATCTACAGCTTCACCTCTGTTCACATCGTAAAACATCTTTTGCGCATAAGCTAAAGCCTTTCCCATTGCTGGGAGATCAGAAAAGACATTATGTAGATCCAAAAGAAACGGATAAATCGACTGAGCAAACTGTGGGGCCTCATAATTGGATTGTAGCTGGATTTCTTTAGGCGCCACCACAGAAACAGAAGTTGATGGATTTAGCCTCGATATTGATAAATCAATATATGGGGATAATAACTTAACCATCTGTGACTGTATTTCATTGGTTATGTATAGGGTCGTGGAGAACCTATAAGGGATCCATGATCCCGTGCTTGTCACCCTTCTCCTTTCCCCTCATTTCTTCTTTCTCCATTGGTCACTCCCCATCTCTCTCTTCTCCCGATTGGCTTCACATGCCCTTCCTTTCTCTCCTTTAGAGCCTTTCTCCACCGCCCATCTTTTCTTCTTTAAATCTGGGCCACACACCTGGCTCTACCAGATTTTACTCCAAAAGTCTGGAGTATTCTAGAAAATAATAAATTTACAATTTTACCCTCGACTTTATTCGTTAATAACTCCTTCGTTATAACTTCAAATTGTGTTCCGTTTGCACCCACGTTTCCGTAGTGACGAGTACTACAAGAATATGGCAAGAAAACGAGTCTTACATGACACGACATGGCAGTCAACAAAAGTCAACACTTTGCCTCGAAGGCCATTTTCGTAAATTCACTTATTAAAATTATTAAGACTGTAACTTTTGGGAATGGGTCGTTACACGATTTATAATATGAACGGTTCTGATTATAAACATGAAGTTTTATAAATTGACAATGAACAATTTTGAGAGATTTTGAATAGGAGTTCTTACTCATGTTTGAGTAGCCAAATATTGTTCTATATGTATAGCAAAAGTCTGATATTTATGAAATAAAGCATAAAATCTTGTTGGAAATTTCAATCAAAGAAGAAGGACTTTCTTTCACTAAAATATTACATAGTTTTACTACAAAAATCAATAATTGTATCAAGTTTGAAGATGATTATTTTATTTTATTTTATTTTATATTTTTATTATTATTATTATTATTATTATTATTATTATTATATTATTTTATAACGAAGGAGTTTCTATTATTATTATTTTATTTTATTTTATTTTATATTAGAAAGTTTTAAGATGAAATTGAAATTCATAGGCTTCTATTGTACGAAATGGACGAAAGTAACCCTCAATCTAACAAAATAATTGATAAAGCTGGCAGTTGAGAGACGTCGACACAAATTGAAATTTTAAAGGTGCTCATAACCAAATTGAAAGTTTAGAGAACAAAATGAAACAGGACCTGTATGTCAATTTCTTCATGTGATGTGATCCATCAAAACTTGCAATGAGGTTAAAGAACTTATTTCTTTCCTTCATCATTTACAGTGGAATTGGGAGGCCAACTATCTACATACAACAACGACAAAGCCTAATCTCACTAAGTGTGGTCGGCTATATGAATCCTAGAACGTTACTGCACTCGGTTTTGTGTCATGTTTTTCCAAAAAGAAGAAGAGCCAAAGTATGACATGATGATATATATATATACACATATGGAACATAATCTTGTGTTGGAACAGACAAAACTAATAAGGTTCCTTGGTTCTCATAATTTCTATATTTACAAATTTCAACCTCGAGGCTCAATCATCGTATAGATGGCGTAAAGTGCAAGAAACTCGTAGGTCTGCAGACTCGCGGAGTTATGTTTCGGTGCCTGTATAACGTTTGTGAAGATAATTGCAGCTGACTTTCTGATCCATCTAAGACTTAAGGCCTAGGCTGCCCATTTTGAAACTGCTGCTCAGACTGGATCCTTCCTTTCGCAGCAAGCCGTGCGCGGATTAGTTTTTCGCTTGCAAGGGCCTCCTGTACATTGTTTCGAACTGAGTTGCAAAGGTCGTCAAGGGCAAGCATTGGAAATGGCTCCTCAATCAGAACACCCACCTGCAGAATTTGGAAAATGAACACGAGTGGCATTAATATTTCATTTCAGGTGGAAATGCAGTCGGAAGTTTAGGGTAGCATACCCATAGAAGTGATCAGGCAGAGGCAACTCATATCACAGTAACAGATACGATTCTTTCGAATCTTCTGCCATCAGCATTCAAGAATCCAGTTCATTAACCTTTTTGGAGAATGAAACAGTACAAGACTAGATGTATTACAGC